TATCTAAATATCAACTGGTGACCATAACAGCTGTCAGAACAACTCCTGGGCCTGCTGGGTGTCAATGCTGATCTATGTCCTCCCAAGAGCTGCTCAGCCAGAGCGTCCAGCACAATTCCACCCTGCGGTGTGCTCATATCTCAGGCTTTGACAGGACAGGCCCAGAGCACGACAATCACCCAGCATTTAGACACCTCAGACTTTGCTGGGATGGGACCAGGCAGAACCAATGCTTCTGCGCTCAGCCATCCTTAAAGACCTCCACGCGAATTTGCCTTGGCCAAACTGATGGAATGGCTGAGGTGAGAAGGGACCTTAGAGCTCATCCAGCCCCACCCCTGCCACGGGCTGGCTGTCCTCCCAGCTCAGGCTGCCCAAGGCTCACCCACAGCCTCGGACACCTCCAGGGATGGGCACCCACCGCTCCGGGAGCGGTGCCAGCGCCTCACAGCCCTCTGAGCAAAGGATTTCTCCCTCGCATCTAACCCAAACCTCCCCTCTTCCAGCCTAAAGCCGTTCCCCCTCGTTCTAACGCTGCAGGCCTATAGGCCCGCCGGGCGCTGCGTGCCCAACCCGGCACCCCGGCTGCCCCCCGGCCGGGCCCAGCCCCGCTCAGCGCCCGGTTCCTTCAGCCCCAACCCAGGCCCAGCTCACCCCCTGCCCACCCCCAGCTCCGCTCCCCTTCCCGCTCACCGCGGCTCCGGGCTCCCCGCCCCGGCCCGTCCCGTGGCTGCAGGCAGCTGACACACGCTGACCGCCGGCCCGTACCATCCCACCGGGCCGATGGGGGGTGGCTGGGGCTGAGGGCGGGCAGCTCCGCGCTGTTCAACCGCCGCCGAAGAGTGGAACGAGGATAGAGACAAAGCAGGACGAGGACGCAGCTGCCGGCAGGACGCGGGCGGGCCGCCAACGAAGCTTTCGGTGCCCTCTTCCCCCCCGCAGAAGCGGGGATGACCGCGGCCCGCACCGCCCTGTCACGGGGCTGGGCGCAGCCACTGCTCGGAGCGCAGGGGGGAGGGACAAGAGAAGTGCCTGCCGACCCTCCTTCCCTCCCACGCTATGCCCCAAACTACCGCCGGGTCGAGCACAGCAGACTCGAACATTCGACATCCAGGGCCCGGTCCTTGGCCGCCGCCTGCGCTCCCAGCCGGACGCTGAGGGCAGAGCGGGGTTGCTCTCCCCCCTGCCAATTCCCCACCAAGTGGTGCGGTCCGCGTCGCGGCCACGTGACCGCCAGCCACAGGAAGGGGCGAGCAGGAAGGGGATCGTGCGCCTGCGCAGTGCGCTCAGCCCGGCGCTGAGGGGCGCCGCCTTCTGAGGGCGCTAAACTTGGGAAGCGGGGGGGGGGAGGGAAGTAACGTGCATCTGCTTTTAGCGGCAGCTGGAAGCGCACGGGTAGCTCCGATCCGACAAAGGGAGCAGACACCTCACCTCTCTTAAAAGTAACACTGTGCTACGATGTTGGTCCTCTGTTGAGCAGCTCCAGCGATGCCCCAAGGGCTCAAGGTCTGGAAAAGGACAAAACAGCCCCTCGACCTGGAACCTTTGGTGCTTTCCAGTCTCAAAATGAGCAACTGCTGGATTTCTCCACCAACCTTTTTACACTGGGGATGATCTCTAAGATTCCAGTCCTAAAGGCCCTTGCATTACAACAAAGTCATTCTGCAGAGCACATCTGGTAATACTGCAGGGCAATTGAACCCTGAGAAGCAGCAGCCAGCGCTGCTAACAATACAGCACAGCTCTGGGTACCAGCAGCCACGTGTGGACTAAAACTTGACCTTCTGCTGAAGAAAACTATACTCAGCTGGTCAGATCGCAACACGAAGATCAGCTCTGAACATAAAAGCCTGCAAATGTCTGATCCAAAGTCCATCTGATCCCAGAGCCAGTGCTGGCCAAGGGCCCGTAGCAGCACTTTCCAAGAAGACAGACTGTGGGCACAAAAATGAAACTGCTTGTTCTACTCGTGGAGAGCTCTGAGAAGCCACCAGAGCAGTTCCTGAGCACAGAGCAGCGCGGGGCACGGACACCTAGCAGCCTCCTGCCGCCAGCCACAATCATGTCCTGAGAACCAACAAGAACAAAAGACCCCCCCCAAAAAAACCTAGAGAAAAAACGCAAATACAAAAGCTCTACTATCTCATTCTTTCAGGCCAACCATTTAAGACAAACTAAGAATGACTCATTTGTTATCTTTATTTTCCAATAGTACATTTAAACAACTTGTCAGGACTAACCTCCTCAGCTGGTGTGGCCATGCAGAAAACATTTCCTAAGTTACACAGATCACCTATGACAACACACACAATGGGTTGCAGTTGCACTGTCTAGTAGAGGTGGGAAGTTGCCTGGAAGGAGGCAACCTGAGTTATGCAGAAGCATGTGGTGCGATGGCAGCACTACAGGTGTGTTAGCAAAGGTCAGTAACTAGGGCTCCCCTGTGAAACAAAAACAGAAGGGGTGCTTGTATGCAGATTCTAGCCTTTTTTCTTTAAAAACAAACAAACAAAAACTTCCACGTAATTTTATTACCAGCTAAGCATGACTGAACTGGACCCCCCTCCGGTGGCTAAGAACTGTAGTTGCAAGTCTAGGGCTCCCTTTAGAGCTGCACTTTCTCTCTTTGCAAATAACGATGCATGAAACTGCGAGTTAGATATCAAAGCATGCACTCAGGATTTTGTGAGCACATCTTCCAGCCATGCACAATGGGAAGAACTAGCCACAGGCTTCTGAGTCTGCAGTTCAGAGAAGCATAGCACACAGTGTTCTTACATTTGATCAAGGGTCCTTCCTTGCAGTAAATACAAATTAAAACCGGAAAGCTCAAGTGTTCTCAAAGCTCACCACAGCCCATGCAATTCGTTCCAAGACTTGAAGGAGCTTCTTCATTAAAAAATCTGGCTTAATTTCAACAGTATCTCAAGACATGCAGATGCTAGACCTTATGCATTTAAATCAAACCATTACTTAAAAGCCCTTTCCCAAAGCACTTCTGGTGAATACTTCCTTACAGATGGGACCTGACTTCAAATTTTCCAACAGCAACTAAGCATGTGCCTCCTTAAAAAACAGATTAAGAAAAATAGGGTAATATATCATTTGAAAATACTACATAGATCTGTCTACCATTCCTTTTGATGTGCAGTATCGATTTATTTTATCTATGTTATGAAAAAAACCCCAGGAAACAGCTGCTGCTATTTACCAGGTGCCTCTACTAAATTGCTTGTAATTCCACAGATATAAAGCCATTCACCAGCTCTCAGAATGTCCATGCTTACTAATAGGAACCAGCAATACGAAAGCTCAGCCACTGCAGAGAGAACATTTCTGGTTCTCCTCAGGCTTCATGAAAGCATTCTGCATGCATTCTTCTCCTGGCAGGTGAGCCTTTGGCAATGAAATGTGAGCCATCACCATTTTTGTTTACATGGCAGTTTGGGATTAGTCATTTGCAGTACTCTACTGCACACAACTGTAAACATTCCCATAACCCAGCTTTGTGCCTGAGCCCACAGCAGAGCTCATCGGCCTTTAACACTTCTACAGTACCAGAGCAAAAAGTTGCATAAGCATTTTCAGCGCTGAAATCACTGCAGGATTAACTAGGGGAAAAAAAAAAAACCATTAAAAATCATCAATATATTTAACTACAAGACCAGTAAGGTGAGTTTAGGTGTAAAATTTGCCTTTAAGTATGCAAGTCACTGATAGGAAGCACAGATTCTCAATGGTGAACAACTAACACTATTGACTTATGCTGTGTTCACTACTAAATTGCTACTTTATGCTTTTAAAAACTTCGTTTGCAATCTAGAGAACAACACAGTCATCTTCTAGAAAGCAAACCACTGCCACAGAGGCTCTGCTAGAATTAAGAGACCAGTTTTAAGTGAAAACCCCAACAGAGCTGCATCTGCACTGGAAGCACAAATGGGTTACTTTCAACCACGGGTGACCTCAATACAGACAAGTTTAACACGGCAAGAGCCAGAAATGCTTTGCTCCCACTGTGACACCTGACAAAAGTCGGTAGGTTAGCAGCAGCAAGCAGCTCCTACTCAGATGTTTAAGCAGGAAGCAGTAGAGGCTGAGCTTCACACGTTCTGCCTTGATGACAGGTGTATGTATGCCTGATAGCATGAGATTTGCACTGATGTGAAGTATCTCAAAGGTGTTTGAACAGTCAGAATCTTCAGATACGTGAGAGCTACAGAAAAATAAAAGTCCCATTGATTTAAGAAGTGAAACCCTTAAAGAATCAAACAAAAATCTTTTTGTGTGAAATACTGAATTAAAACTGGATGTCATTCCAGCAAATCGGTTCCAAATAAAATTGTTTTTTTATGAGTTGTATAGAGTTCCATCAAGAAGAATCATATTTAGAGACAAAGAAAGGATCGATAGCATGGCCTTCACTTAGAACTGATTTCCACCACAGAAAAACAGCAGCGTGTTGAATACCTTCATGCTGATTGTATAGGAACAAAAATTTAAACTTCTTTCAGCGTGAACAACTTCATATCCAGCATCTTCCAGAGCACCCAGGTCTTCCAATTATCCTTGTTTAGGCCTAGTAAATTTGATCCAAGAGCAAACATTATGAGGAAGTATTTTGTACCAGAAGTTTAAAATCAAAACAGCTCTCATGTATGATTTCCCTAAAGCAACTTCTGCTTTTCAACAGTCACCTACCAAGGACTTGTCAATACCTTTCGAGAAGAACCTGGTTCTTATTTCATCAGTTGAGACAGCAGCCAACTACACTAAGTATATGCAAATTATGATGTAGAGAATTTTACTTAAGCTCCACCCCTCTCCCTCCCACCATACATATATCTGCACTTCGAGCCAAATTTAAATACAAAAGGAACCAGTAATTATCTTGTAAATGAACCAATGCGAGTTTGCATTCTTCCCTGAATAACACTTCTTTTTTTTTCCTGCAGAGGAGGAAAAAGGACTGCTACAGAAACACAGCAACATTCAAAACCTTTAAAACAAAAGGTAGATTATTTAATGCACTGACGATGTTAATCTGAAGATAAATAAATCCACAACAGACTTTTAAGTTTCTTTTGAGATTTCCTTTTTCTTTGCGGAGAATATTTCTGAAATTATACAGTACTGAGAGGGTGTTCTTTTATTTTCTCAATGTCCAGGTGAAAAGCAAAGCTCAGTTCTCTCTGCTCTCTTCATGGAACTCCTCAATGCCCCATTCCAGGCGTGATTCTCTTAAGCTTTTACTTGAAAGCGGAGCAGTGAGCAATACTAATTTCAGGAATAACTGGATGGTTTGGTCCCTGAGTCATCTTCTTGAGAGCCCATACTCTGAAAGATAAAGAGTTATTTCTTCAAAAACAGGTCTGAGGAATTACCTTTGAGACAGACTTCCCTTTGAAGTGAACAGGTATGGAAATTAAGTGGATATGAAGTAACATGCACTTCCTTTTTGTTTTAAAGCATGATGTTTCTGCACGTTGCACTGATGTATTATTACTAGCACTAGGAATGCAAACATTCAGTACAATGTACTCACTACACTCAATTTCTTAAATATTCTGACAAAAGGTTAAGTCAATTACCTTCTGCACAAACTGAGGGTTCACAGTGATCTCTTGATCCATGGCTTTCAGTCGTTCATCAAGCTCTATACATTTCAGCATCTTAAAAAAACAAAGAAACAACAACAACAAAACATACTAAGCTGACTTTTGTCCAGCTTGTAAAAGATCTTCTGATACTTTGTGGCTGTGCTATGGAGAACTAGCAACCTCTGCCATCACAAAAATTCCATGTCAAAATGCTCTTTGCCTTCATCTCCTAGATGAAAGCCTCACATCACTTTTTATTCCCTTATTTTAATTAATATCTTCCCAACAATCCGTTTTAAAGCCCCGTGAGGTCAGTGACCTCAAACTCCAGGCATATCACTGTCAACCAAACCAACCCTTGAACAGTCCTTCTAATCCAGCCAGTTTCAAGAACTTCACATCAACATTAAGCAGTCTGTCTATTGAGATGTCTCAAGCTGACAGAAGATAAAGCAGGAAAGTCATAGCTAATTACTATCAATCTAAAACTTTTAAATGAGAAATAGTAACAATTCATAGCTCTCCATCCCTACGTGTAAGTTACCTACGCTGTCTTCTCCCAGCATCTGATTTCAGACTATTCAGTAGGAGCTAGTTATTAAAAATAACACTAGTTATTCAGTAGGCATGCCAGAAGTATTAAAACTCTTGCAGATTTACCTCCTGATCAATGTTATGAAGCATAGCTGGATTGTTATACTTCTCAGGATTATCGTGGAAACAGACCATCCCATCCTTCTGATTAATACTTGCAAAGATTTCACCATCTTCTATCTGAAATGAAAGTTTAAAATAAAGCATCACCAACAACAGAATTTCAGGTAGCTACAACTCCTCGTGGGATTTCATTCAACGTGAAACAGAACCATTCTTCTGCCAGTCAAACACACACTGCCAAATGAGACAGTCTTACACTGGATCAGTATTGAAGTCAGGACTATTTAGTCAAGTTGCAAGTCTTACCATGTGGAGGACGTACTTTTCTGCTTCCTGGGGCCCCGACAGCTGAACTCGACTTGCCATGTCTTGTAATGACAACGTTAAGAACGTCTGTAATTAAGAAAACGCCAAGCCACTGAAATTACACACTAAGAACTTCCCCTGCCAATCCTTCATGGCCCAACAGTCTTATTTTTGAAGTTGGATGGGATGAAACAAGCAGAACGCACAGCTGTTACTTACAAAAGCACTGTGACAGCACAGTCAGCTCTTACTCCAAAGATTCTAGTTCGTTATACTGTGCATGAATGCAGGCCAAACTCACGGAGTGGTTACTTCATTTCTGCAATCTCTTTCTGTCCCTCAGGAGTTGTGATCATGTCCAACCTCTTACCCACATTCAAACCTAAATAAGGCAGCTGTCCACCCCTTGAATTTCCATCAAGAATTGCATACATTGCACTACTTCCAAAGTTACTTCTATTGCAGCAAATACTGTTTGAGCTTAAGAAAGAGAGAGCTTCCCCTGATCCCTTTTAAGGATTAATCATCTCTTCAGCCAAGGACCAGATCACTACATTGCTTCTGCATTTCTTTTAACTGACACTTCCAAAATCCATGCTATTCACTCACTCTCATCTAATGAAGTAACCAATGAAGTTCAGGTTTCCTACTTTTGAACAAAGATGGAGTTTTGGGTTATTAGTGTTCATGACCTTTCTGATTACGTACTAAATGATCATGGGCTAAGCTCTCTCATTCCTTGCAGCAAAACCATTGAATTAGATCAGAGTATTGCCACAGACAGTAAGGTCTGGAAGCTTCTGTGCAAAAAGCAAGCAGGTAAGCAGACATATAGCTGGATACCACCGTCCATGGCTGTGCACAAACCCCTCTGATAGACACTGACTGAACCACCTTTGCACTAATGTTCAAGTAACTAACTGAATTGGTTTTCTACCTAAAGCATCTGAAAGTCTCAGAATGGTACTTCACACACACGAATCTGTTTGTTTCCCTGCGACATGACTATGTTATCATTTTGCACTTATGTGAATAAATTTCAACCTGCACATCTTACCCATCTTACCTTGGTTAGCCTCTGAATATTCTTTTTGTAGAGAGATGACAAGCATTGCTTAACCAGCCCCATATTGTTATCCCTTGTGAATGTTTCACTGTGTTTGTTCACCAGATTTCGAAGCTCCGAGGGTTTATTGGTAGAATAAACTTGTGCTAATTCATGGTAAGCATTGCTGAGGGGCTGCAATCAGAAAAATGAGAACTCTTCTTAAAGAACATGGTGCTCAACCAGCCTCACGAATTCAAGTCACTACTTCAACATAAGCCATGCAGGCAAAAAGAAATTAAAGTAGCTCAAGTGCCTCTTAAAATCTAGGTGATGCCCATGCAGGTCCAGGGCAACAACAGATCCTTGTCCAGTCAACTGTATTAAAGCAGTGTAAGATCTAATCAGCTCTGTTCAAGGACCAGCATACAAAAAAAAAAAAGCAGGAAAAGAGCCTTTGGTTGACTATCAGATGACAAAAGCTGAGCCTAAGCTCAGCAGCACTGCATTCACAGTTTATTCATAATATCTGTTCTAATACCTAAGACACTGTCAGCCCTGATCCCTGTGAATCACAGCATGGACAACACAATCATATATGCATCATATATTCATACTGAATGCCAAGTGAAACTTGTCAACTTTGAGTTCTGAAGTAAAGGTTATCAAGGGATGTGCAACACCAGTGAGGAGAACACTGCTAATTACAAAGTCCTATTCAACTCAAAAGACTTTTTTTTTTAAACAAAAAAAGATGAAGATCCTTATTTCCCATACAAACAACATCATTTATGATCTTTAGCCACAGTAGACTCGAAAAACAAGAATGTGCAACACTGAACAGTATCACCAAATGAGGGTAGGAAAATGCCTGCAATACGATTTTTATTATCCACGCCCTGTTCTGTGATTTAGCTGCTTTTGCAAGACTTACCTTAATGAACCTACCAACTATCTGGGAAGTATATTTTGGTAGCTGTTGAACTTTGCCAAGTAGTATCAAAGAAACTAGAATATACTTTTTATAAGATTCCAACATAATATGACTAACTGCCATGGCTGGAGTAGTTATTGCCTAAGCGAGAGAAAAAGACATGAATCAAGTTTAATATTTCATTGGTAACTTGCAATAGCTACACTATCAACATCTCAGTTTAAAACTGTACGCACAAAGGATGCAGTGACGTGTTAGATTCACTTTTGAGCATTACAGCTTAACTTCCATCAAAGGTAAATATCTGAAAACATCCTAAAAAAGTTCTGTATGAACTACTCAAAACATCACATATTACAGTAATGCCTAACTTAAAAAACCCTGTTAAGATCAAAGCCTCTTTGTTTGATACGTATCTGAAGTTGTACTGTAAATCACCAGTGGTGCCTGTTGCAAGCAATGATTACACAGCCCCTGTGAAAGCTGAATTTACACACATCCTCATAATATCCCTATGAAATCTTTCTATTATGCAATCTCTTATTTAACCATGATGAAAGAGGCTTGCAGAACAGCAAGAAGGGATTTTAGTTCACCCCAATGCTGCTACTCAACAGCTCACCCTTGCTTACAGAAAAGCGCTGCACCGGTTTATTTTGCACATTTGACAGCTTTTCTTCGCTGAGTTTCCTCAATTCTGTCATTCCCTCTTCTTTCATAGAAGAAAGTAGAGCAGTCATTATTATAATAGGCATGAAGTGTAACTTCCATCAAAAAATTGGCAAAGGTCAGAAGCAAAGCCACAGTGCTCTTTGAAAATGCACAGTTCTGAGCACCAGCCTGTTTCTGTGTGAGCAGTAATGAGTGAGCACTTGAAAATATTTATAGTGAGATAAATTTAACATCAACCTTTGAGTTGCATAGCTTTATGGTGCATTAGTTGCTTGGCTGGGACTTTCCAAGAAGATAACACTTCTAAATTCAGTTTGTTACTTCACTCTGTGCACCAAGAGTATCATTTAGTCTGGGCTCCTCATGATACAGCTGATAAACAAAAATGAACCCCAAGCAGTTTTTATGCACAGTTATAATGCACAGCATACAAAAGCAAACCCAGTGTGAACAATGAACAGAAGCACAGACCTGTTAACAGAACTGCATCCTAAAGGTTAAGAACAAAAATAATCAGACTGCTTGTACTTGACACTGGGTGCACAGCTTTCTGTTTGAATTTGAAGCTGACTCACTATCTCAGTTGGTGTCACACATCCCACTTTTGCTTTTCAATTCACCACAATTCAGACTGATGAGTTTTAATTAAAGTTACCTGTTCATAGAAGTAGAGTGCTCTTTCAAAGTTCTTTAGCCCAGTGTATATCATCCCACCATAGTAGTAATAACATAAAAAGTGCTTTGCATCGTATGCCCCATTTTCTTTACAAATATCCATCATGTCCACATCTAGATATGGGAGGGCAGGTTTAAAGCATTTTGCTAACAAACAGAGCTACAAGAAAACAAATCAAGTGTTTATAAATTAGCTATTTTAAATACCCACGAAGATGACATTGAAATACAATGCATTTAGTAGTATTTAATATAACCTCACTCCTCTGAGAGTTCAAAAACAGTGTACGCCACAGCAGAGGCATAACACACATCATACATTGTATTGTGGTGTTTGGAAAAGCACAGATTGTGAACTTTTAGAAATCATTTGAATCCTAAAGAAATCAGACCAGCCAATAAAGCAGCCTGAAACTCCAGGCCTTCCAGACTACTGTGCTGGCAGCACTCAATACTGCACTAAACATTCTCATCCAACTCTAAGTCCCAGGAGCCAAGAATGAGACAGAAGTGCAAATCCAGGCCAAAGACATGGAGACAAGCATGCCTTTTGTCAAACCCAAGCAAACAGTATTTGGCCAGAACACTCACACTGTCTAAGAGAAGCTGTGCACGACTTCCAGCCCAGAGAGAAGGGCTTTCAGAAGTCATGAACAAAATCAAAGACCTGGGGACATGTGCTGAACATTTAGCAGGAAGAGAAGGGAGTTTTATTTCAGTATGCCATATTGCTGACTACTGGAAAAGAATTAAAAAACAAAATCAAAAACCCCAAGGCCACAATTCAAAGCTTTCTTTACGCTGCAATACGTGGATGTGCGTTTCTCAAACAGCTGTAGGGAATCTACCAGCTTTCACTCTCAGAATCAAGACCTTACCTGGCAGAGATCTGCATGTATTGAGGTCAGCTGGTTTGTGTTCATCTGCATCTTGTCTATGGCTTGTCTGAGAATGCTAATTCCTCGCAGGGGCTGTCAGAAATTACATCTCTTTCAGATAATTTCTCATAGATGGCAGCACATTGGATCTTATGTTGACACTTACAAATGAAAAATAACACTAATTGACAGGTTCCGTTAAGTAATAATTAACTCGTGGTTCCCTTTTTGTAGGATATTGCAGTCACTCAGAAAATAAGATGAGCCTACAGTATACAAACTCCCTGATAAACTAAACAAAGTCACCCATTCTGCTTCACAAAGACAAGTTCACCAGGAAAACAGTAAGTTGTACTGAGTAAACCTGCTCTTGACTCCATGACTACATCTAAATTCCTAGTAAATACAGGAAAGGCTCCTGCTTCACTCAGTCCTGATTTGATTTTTATTTCAAGCTAGATTTAACTTACTTTTTCAGGGCATTTTCAGTATCTTATCCCTAAAAACAAACGTCCCCTACATTTTAAGGCATTTCATTAAGCACGCTGCATTAGACTGGTGAGAGTAACACTGGAATCTCTCTGACTCATTGGCTCTGTCAGTTTGGGCAGCTCTCCCCTGCTCACACACACCATAACACACCTGGCACACCTGACTTCCTGGTTTGTGTGTGAGAGCAAGGTTTTAGCTAATTCCCTCCCCCAAATTTTAATGCCTATTTTCCTTAAGGAGGTTTTAAAATCTTTTAGGTTCATTACTGCTCAGTAGACTTAACATACATAAGGAGCCACACAAAAATACTTCCCATGAAATTAGCAGTAAATCTTTATGAAGCAAGTAACGTCCCTCTCAAGAGCCTGGCTTTGTAGGTTCCTTATTTGTATTAGCTGATACTTGCTCACCTGTTTTCTCTCCACAAGGGCATTTGTTAACTGGTGGCACAGGCCAGCAACTAAACAGAGAAAAACAAAATAATTCAGTAAAAAAATCAAATCAACAATACCAAACTATATCAATACACACAAAGTTTTTCTGTAAAGTGCTGAATTAACTTACAAGTGTCTGTTGCATATCTGATGTGTTCCCCATTACAAGTACTGATGAAGAGCTGCACCTGTGAGAATAACGTTTCGAAGTCGGGGATGCTGGGCATAGAAAACTTCACAAACCTAAAACAAGACCCCAAAAAAAGTTTAACACACAACAGTAAGAGATTAATTAAAGAAAACAAAAAGTTTTATGTTCATTAGTCTCTACAGATACAGGCAGCTTCTTGCAAGAAGTGCCAAAGTGGTCATGACAGATGGCATATGATTTCCCCAGGAACTGCACAGCACTTGGAAGTACACTTTCAGTGCAGAGTCCTACTATGACTCTGGTAAAAAACTAGTTTGGAACTAACTATGGCCAACAAAGATCACTTTATCTGCTACAATTATAATCACAATAAATTGCTAGCAGTGAAATTTTTATACTAAACCACGGAACTTCTCCAGAGACCTGCTTGAATGCGTCACAGATTTTTCAACTATTAAATGATCAGACTTGTCTGTCTTGCTAAGAGCTCCTTCATTTTCAGCTTCTCTCCATCCCTGCAGGCTCCTCAGTACCCTACAGGCTGCAGCTGCACACTGCTTCTGTTATGATTACACTGAGTGCAATGAGAACTCTGCACATGGCTTCATGCTTACAGTTTGGCTCACTCGTGTTCTGCCAATTAAAAGTTTTTGCTGAACTGATAGGTAAAAACACTCATACAGACATAAACAACCAGATACAGCCTTAAGGAAAACAAACCTCCATTTGGCAGTAACGACAGTTTAAGGCTCCAGATTTTTTTTCTGCTGAAAGCAGGAATTTGCTTTAACATTTCTTCTAATAAAAGGTCACCAAAGGAAACTAAGCACTACTCTACAACAGACTGAAGATACTTGTGTCTGGCTGGCAATCCAGCATGTAGCTTGAAATTCTGATGCTAGAATGCTTAATTAAAAGAAAGCCACACTTACAAGACAGCAAGAACTCCTAACGAGTGTTCCTGCACATCCAGGGCACCAAGCACTGTATCCAGATGGGAGAGGTTTTTCGCTAGCAGTTCTCCGCTTTTATTGATCAGCTCACAAAGCTGGGTCATTTGCCCTGAAACAAAAAGCATCCTTGTCAGACCCCACTTAGAAATCACACACGCATTCCCACGCTTCATTACAGCTTGGTTCTCTATTAAAAAAATAATTTAGGAAGTCAGGAAAACGTAGCATCACCCAGCCAATTTCCTGCTCTGCACTATGTGAGGCATCAGTTCTCACAAATAAGTGACAGGTAAACTTCTGACTGCTGGGACAGCAAAGGGAGCACGAGCAGCAGCATCAATCCACCTCACTACAGAGGGCTTCAGGATCCCATGGCAACAACCAGCTCTGCTTGAGCCAAGTCTCCCAGACTCCAGCAAGTTTTTGCAATGCCAAATTCCCTCTCACATGAACAGAATTTACCTCCACCTGTGCCTTCTAGTCGTTAAAAGCAAAAACATATCCACCAAGAACAGCATCCTCCCCTTTCTGAAATAATAACGAAACCACCTCCATACCAACGCTCCTTAGCATTCCTCAAGTGCCTTATTCACTTCTCTGGGCTGCTCATTATTAATTTCAAAAACCCTGCAACTGAACACCTCCAATAATAGGATTTTTAAAATCTGTTCTTAACTTTACTTCATATAATTATTACTACAGCATTGTTCTATTCATTGTGAACTATAAACACAGCATGAAATGTGACTACTTTGAATTAGGCAGGTATGGTAAGCCCTCACAAATAAAGCAGTGACTTCCCTCTTTATTATAACAAACTGCTTTCAAAACCCTTCTTTTTTTTTTCCTCCTTCAAAACTACAGGAATTAAAACCACATCTTTCTGAAGCAGAGGATTGTTTCAGTGTTCAATCCTTGTTGATTATAGGAAAAAAAAGCAGAAGTCCTTTCACCCTTTACAGAAGTCTTCATGACCTGAAGAATAGTGCCCCCATTCATAGAGATTTACACCATTCTCAAATTTCTTGGCCTTTTCCTTTGAAAACAAAGATGAAACCGGGGAGCCTTACCAATGAAATGCTAACACTGAAGTAAAAACAGGATCAAAAGGTCCATAGGTGGGACCACAGACCAGGAACCCCAGACACCCATCCTCATAACATCTCTGTCCATCCAGATTTAAAACTCCCAAGACAAGCATGGAGAGAAACAGGGCCTGTAAAATCTCATTCGGCAATGATATTCAAGCACTGCAAAAGGTCAGTTCTGATGCCCTCCCCCAAGACAAATCCTCCCATTCTACAGCCTTCATCCAGCATCCTCCCCCCATAAAAACAAACAAACAAGAACCAAAACCACAAAGAAGAAAAAAAAAAAATCCCAAAAACCCCAAATATGCTACATATTAACAGCATGCAAGTGGAACACCCACACAAGGCCTCACTACATGTCCATTTATGTCATCCCCTGTGCAGTTTAGCACTGACAGCCCAGGACCACAAGTACACCTGATTCTCCCACTGCAGTCTGTGGTGCCTGCACTCACTCCTCACAGACAGCACCTATCTGGGCAGCCCCCAATGGCAGAACTTCCATGAAGGCAGCCAGCTTTCCCCTAGAATAGCGTTCACCTTCAAAACTATATAAGAACTTGCCAGCTAAACTAAACCACACAAAAAATCTTCTGTAGTCTGCTAAGTACCTGCATCTTGCATAGGTACAAACTGTCTCCAGCATCTGCTATCCTCAGTAAAAATGCTACAAATTTAGTAAATTAAAACCAAAGCATGACAGAATCTACACCCCACCCAAAAGTAACTGCCAGAGATAAAGCCTGAGGGCTGCAGAGGAAAGCATGAATTTCTGATCGCTTACAGAGTGCAAACATCCACGGAACAGTAGGATTTGGGAGGGTCCTGTGGGGACTCCCAAGTTCAATCCCTCTTAAGGCAGGTTCTCTAAGGCAGGTTGTACAGGAAGGTGTCCAGTTGGGGTCTGAATATCTCCAGAGGAGACTCCACCACCCCTGGTCAGCCTGTTCCAGTGCTCTGCCACCCTGACACTGAAGAAGTTCTTAGGGAGCATCCCCACAGAAAGTTCAAGAAGTACAAGACACCCATATGTGGGGTAATGAGAAGCTTGGCAATAAAACAGACAGTTTACATAGAAGTATTAAAACACCTCCTGAGTGCTGTGTAATGACAACCACGAGGCAGCCTCAGGCTTCTCCCCTTTTCCCCCGAGGTACATCAAACATCCCAACAGCAATGACAGCCCCTCAGAGCCCCAAACCGGGAAGGCAGAGCTTTCACCCCCAGGAGCCAGCACTTCCAAAACGCATTCAAGCCCCACTTCCCTGAAGCCCCCCCATTTCCCACCCCCTTCCCAAGGCTCACGCTCCATCCCAGCCGCTCCTCGCGGGGTCGAAGCCCTCCCGGGACCCCCGACGGGGAAACGAAGGCCTCACCGGAGCCACAAGGAGAGCTCCCGGCACGCTCGGAGAGTCAGAGCTCCGCACCGCAGGGCCCAACCACCGCCCGAGATAAAGCCACGAGAGACCCGGGCCCCGACCCGCTCCCCACGTACACACGGGGCCCAGCGGGCCGCACCGGCCGCCGCTCCCCGCTCGGCCCCACCCGCGGTTCGCACCCGGCGGTCACCTTGGGCCGAGAGCTGCCGGACGCTGTTAACGAACTGCTCCAGCGCCGACGCCATCTTGGCGGCTGGCGGCGCGGCCGCGCGCGCTACGGGAGGGGCGGGGCGGGCGGCTGCGAGGGGGGAGGGAGGGAAGGGGCGGCACGGGCCGGAGCGGCGGAGGGAAGCGGGAAGGAGGCTCCGCCACGGGCGCCGCCGCCACCGGCCAATCAGCGGCCTCTGCGGGAGTCGCGCGACGCCCGCCGCCGCGCGTCACTTCCGCTGTCTCGCGAGAGCAGAAGCCTCTCCCCCCCGCCCGTCGCGGTTGCCGGGGTAACCGCGGCCCAGCCGGAAGCACCGCCCCCGCGCGCACTCCGGACGCGGGAGGCCATCTTAGCGCGAGAAGTCGTGACTCAGCAGGGCCGCCGGGCGGGCGGGTGACGTTGCTGTGACGTCACCGGCCCTTCTGTGTCACCGCTCCTCAGCGGCGGGCTGCTGTCACGCTCGGTCTGCGCTTGGCACAGGCCTGCTGCGGCGAGGGGCTCGGCGCGGGGCTCGGCGCGGCCCCAGCCCCAGCCCCAACGGCAAGCCCCTTCTGTCGGGGCAGCGTGCGTTGAACACCTGCGGCTCAGATCTGCGCAGTCAGATCTGAGGCTCTGACGGCACGGCTTTGGTCGGAACGGCCCTTAAGGACAGGAGCGGGGCTGTGCCTTTCCTGCCGCGGTGCGGTGGCTCAGCTCGGTGAGCGCTGTCTGATGAGGCGCAAATAGCGCTCCTGAACATCAGGGGACAGATTCGTTCCCCTGGTGCCGGGTAGCAGTGATGTTCATTCGGTTTGTATAAGCTGAGCTGCTGGGGCTGCCAGGCGTCCCGTGAGCAAAACTTTGTGCTTGTCGATGAGAGACAAATACGTGCTTGGAGAAGTGCACTGAAATCCCGTTCGTTGTGAGAAGTAAAACGTGTTCTTACCCGCTTGAAACTGCACGTTTTCCCTGTTCAGTTTGATCGGGAATTCTGTCCCTCTGCGCACTCGCTGACCCTTACTGGCTGTGCACAACTCACTGCCCTTTCTACGCAACAAGGACAGCGTGCCCCGCTAGAAATTATTCGGAAATTGGAAGACGAAATATTTTGGTTCTGCTAAGCTGAATCATTGCTGTCGGACAAAATCTTTTCATTCCCAACTCAGCAGCTGCCTAATCCTGTTAGTCACACTCTTGATGCCTCCCTGCTCTTTATAGCGGCTGAAATCCCCCAAGCGCTTTCTGGCCGTGGTGATCTCTGGTCCTGTGTCAGAATATGCAGCCCTTCCTGCACGCTGTTTCTATGTCAGCGCTTTGTTCTGACACCTTGAGTCCCTCCTTTGCACGGTCGGATGTTTCCCAGCACTGTCTAAAGAGTTGTTCTGTGTCCAGGTATCTTCTTTTAAACCTTCACATCACGCGGAGCTGTCACAGCAGGTGACATCCTGGGCAAAGTCTAACTCTTCCCGCGAATTGGTTCAAAGCACATTAAGGTTTTGCTGCAGAAAAACACTGCATGCGTTACATCTGCACCCGTGTCTCCTGCACGCACCCCAAAACACGGTGGTAAAGGCAGCAGGGAGTCAGCAACGATGCTATTGCCGACCTCGGGGACCGCAGGACGAGCCGTACCACGGCGGGTGGGCAGCAGCCCGAGCCCCACAGCCCCCCGGCACCGCGGGGAAGGGGAGGGAGCGCGGCTGCAGCCGGCTTAAAGCGGCTCGGAGGGACGGCCGAGCCGAGCTTTGCAAGACGCTTGTGCCGCTTTAAGGCGGTGCCGCCGTTCCGGGCTCGCTCAGGCACCGGGAAGAGGAACTGGGTTTTTGCACTGCCGGGTCGGGGCGAGCGCTCCGCAGTGCCCCGGCCCGCGGCTTCCCGGGCCCGCAGCGCTCCGCTCGGTGCTTGCTGCATGGGAGGGATGGGTGGGGAGGAGCTGGGGCGAGGAAGAGCCTCTGCACCCCATTGCCTCCCTCCCGCATCCCCTCCTCACCCCCTTTGCATCCCCACATCCCTTCTGCACCCCTTTTGCTTCCTCTCCTCAGCCCCTCTGCGCCGGATTGCAACCCCCGTGCTTTTCCCTACTGCAGCTGCAAGGGGACTTGCTTGCAAGAGCTGTCTGCTTGCAGAGTGCGTGCTTGAAATAACCTCCTCCTCTTCTCCTTCTCCTCAAAAAAAGGACGCCCCGAGCCCCTCTCTGCCATGATTTTGCTGAGCAGCATCTTGCACCTGCGGCCCCGGCACTGCGGTCCCTTGGCAGGGCTGGGCAGGGGATCCGGCCCCACAGCGGGGTCCCGCAGGGCGCTGCGCGTGCTGGTGGACATGGATGGGGTCCTGGCCGACTTCGAAGGAGGATTCCTCAAGAAGTTCAGGGCCAGGTATCCCGACAAGCCCTACATTGCCCTGGAGGACCGGAGGGGCTTCTGGGTGTCGGAGCAATACGGGCGCCTGGCAGCTGAGCTGAGCGTGAGTCTGTGCGTCCCCTTGTGACCCGTGCAGGGCTGCGGTTTGCTTGTGGGTGCAGGGAGGGTGATGAGTAACACCCAAACTTAGGGACATGTCTGCATGCAGCAGTGCTTTGTGTCCCCGAAATCCAGCACTTTTGATGCACATCTCCTTTCCCTGTGTGTGTGGATGAAGATGGATACAAGGACTACAGTTGGTATGGTGCCTGCGAGAAGGAGGGCGTGCATGGGGCTCAGGCTCTCCCATTGGCAAAGTCCTAAGCAGCTTGAAGTGCTGAAGGGTTGATGGGTGCTCTGTAGTTGGGGTGGGTGGGAGGGAAATAAGGCATCATCCACGCAGTAATGTGGATGATAAAGATGAGACAGACGTACTGCATGATGACACTTTTTAGTTTTCTGAATCTAAACTTGTTTGAATGTATTAAATGAGATAAGGCCATGTCTGCACAGTCGTGTAAAACCTCCATATCTTGGGCTGAAATAGCAGATCTCCTAGAGACCAGCCCTGGGGCAGCTCTGCTTCCGTCTTGCTCCCAGATCAGGGGTAAGAAGAGCAGAAGCTGCTCTGTGGCTGCAGGAGCATGGCATGTTCCAGCCCCCCTTCATTGGTGAGCGCCATCAGAGGAGACTGGGAAACAGGATGAAAAGAGCCCAAACAAATGGAGAACAGCAGCATATAGCGCATAGAGCATGGAAGGGTGGGGAGTTCTGGGTGAAATTGTTCATGGGGAGAGAGAAGCAGCAGAAAATTGGGGTGGAATTTTTCAGAAGGGCCCATCCTGCTTGGTGCAAGGTGGGATCTCCAGGTTGGGGAACTTCTTCTGCACTGCCATGCTGCAGGGAGCTACTCTGGCTGTAAGAGCTGAGCGGGTTTTTTCATCAACGTGGGCTCAGTTCTTCCCCCATCAAGCTTGATTGCAAAATGCTTTTTGACATAAGTGGAAGCAGAATAGCTGTGGAAGTCATTGCTGTAAGAAAACACTTCAGTGCAGTTTGAAGTGCTTTGCTGCATCAGGCCACATCTCTCAGTTGTCTCTTGTGCAGCTACATTCAGTTCCCTAGAAATAAAACATTGCCCACCAATGTGAGGCAGAGCAACTGGAGTCTGAATGTCTGTCTGGACCATTGGCGAGCTGCTAGGCTGTTGGTTTTAGTTCAGGAATTTAAGTTCCTTTTCTCCCTGTTTCCTCTTCCCAAATATAGCAGCAGAGGTGCTCAGAGTCAAGACCAATCCTTCAGGGCAGGGCTCACTTCTTCTCCCAGCTGCTCAGCTGCATTTTAACTCTGGGACATGGCTGCTTCCTGTGCATGCACTCATGCTGTTCCCAGGCTCTCCTCCACAAGGCCTCCATGTCTGCAAAATAATTGCTTTTCTTGGCAGCTGCCAGGCTGCCTCCTATTTGAGGGAGCTCTGGATGCTGTTCCTCAGAGCTGTGCAGCAGGCTCTGCTTTTCCCAAGGCTTCATTCCTTGTGGTGTCTCTGTGCTCCGCTCTCCCTTTGGACCAGACCACTACAACATGGCCACAGATCTGGATGTTATGTCTTTCAAAAACCATTGCCTGGTGTTGTTCTATTTGCCTGGGCATCTCTGAGGAAGACTATATGCATTCATTCTGGCATATACTTCTTCCTAGAATACATTGCCTCCTATGAGAACAGCCTGGCTGATATTTTAAGTGATCTAATGGAGATAAATAGGGCAGAGAGCATCTTGACTTGAACTACATCACACTGCAGCACAGGAACCTGCCCACTTCAGATGGATCCACATGGCACTGCTCCTCCAGACACAGACCTGAAGTTCAGTTTGGTGCTGAATATTCTGTGCTTTGAAGCAGCTTTCTCCCCACATGTCGGGCTGCACAGGCAAAACTAAGCCTCCAACCTAAACTGTACAGGGCAGATGCAGGTCACCAAGAGGGGACCAGAGCCAACTCTACCCCATCTAGCTGTAGATGTCCCTGTTTATTGCAGGGGATTTGGGCTGGATGACTGTTAAGGGTCTTTTTCAACTCAAACCATTCTATAACTATGATCTTTCTCACTGCTTCCATCCGTGGAAAATGTGCTCATGCAGAGGAGGGAGCACCAAGAAGTCCTGTGCAGTAACAGCTCTCTTCCTTCTCACAGGAGAAAGCTATCAGCATCTGGGAATCCAAGAACTTCTTCATTGAGCTGGACCCGCTCCCTGGCGCTGTGGAAGCTGTGAAGCAAATGTCAAATTTGGCAGAGTGAGTAGGAACCTTCCGTGGTGTTTGGGGTTGGTGGGGGAGCAGCACTGGCTTTGCAGGCTGATCTGCCTCCTGGCAGCAGTGCTCAGTGCAGTGTCAGTGTTGGGAGTGCTGGGCCTGGGAGGAAGAAGCAGAAGGCTTGCTGCCAATCAGCCACGTGCATCCCCTTCTCTTCAGCTCTCTGCTCCCAGCAAGGGAAACAGGAAGGAGAATGTCCTTGTGAGTGAGGGTGCACATCCTGAGAGTGGGATCTTATGGGTTGACAGCTTAAATCCCCCTGGTCTGTGTGTGGGGGCTGCTTTGATGCCAGGCTGGACGTGCAGGGACAGCTCGGGGGGGCAGGCTTTGGCCACCTAGTGACACTGTCCCTCTTTCTCTCTTTTGGCAGCACTGACGTGTTCATCTGCACAAGCCCTATCAAGAAGTACCGTTATTGCCCTTATGAGAAGGTGAGCAGGGCTGAAATTTGGCTCCCCCAGCTGTGACCCAGCCGTGACATTTCCTGCTCCATCAGAATTATTCCCAAGCACCTTTGTAGTGTTTTCTGTGCTCTGCCAAATGCATGCACTTGGCCTTAACATTACATATGATGCCAGAACCTGCCTACATGTAAAAAAGCTTGTTCTCCAGCAGCATCCTTCCCACTGATGAACCATGTGTGGAGGTGCCAGGGCTGCCCGTGCTCACTGCTCCCTTTGCCTTGCAGTATGCCTGGGTGGAGAAGCACTTTGGCCCCGAGTTTCTGGAGCAGATCGTTCTGACACGGGATAAGACAGTGGTTTCTGCTGACCTGCTCATTGATGACAGACCTGATATAACTGGTAAGGGTGCTATGGGGCAGCAGGACTGAGCATGTATGGGTGGAATCAGAAGTGATGGGTGCTTGTTCCTGCCCTGCTGATGATGCTCTTGTTAGGGGGATGTGTCTGCAGGCTGCAATGTGCAAGGAGCGCCTCGCAGTGGGAGAACTCATCAATCTGGCCTCTCCTTGCTTTGCAGGGGCCGAGGTGAACCCCAGCTGGGAGCACGTACTCTTCACTGCCTGCCACAACAAGCATCTGCAGCTGGAGCCGCCCAGGCGCCGGTTGCAGTCCTGGTCTGATGACTGGAGAGCCATTCTGGACAGCAAACGGCTGCCACTGGGCCACGTGGCCTAAACCCTTGCCTCTATCCTGGCCTCCATCCCAGCTGCCTGCTCATCTCCTCATGGAGGCAGACACCATGGGCAGGTAGACAGACAGATGGTCAGACACGTATGGGGTGGGAAAGGAAGGGGAGCTTGGAGTAGACTTCAGCCTAGCTGCCCTCTGTGCCATGTTGGACCCTCAGTGTCATCTTCCCCCTCTGGCACAGTGCAGCCATCCCTCTGTCCCTCCGTGGTGGAGTCATGCCATGATGGATTTGTCCTCCTGCTGCCATGAATGATCTGCATCCATCCCATCACTGAGGAGCTGCTGCAGCTGCGAGAAACTCTGGTGCTGATTCAGGAAAGAAGGAGCAGACATTTCATTAGCCAGGAGCTGTAAGAAACTCAGCGAGCCTTCGCTGGTGGTGATCCATGGATTTCAAAGCCAGGGGCTGTGCATGTGATGGCTACATGGTCCGTGCCCCATCACTCTCCTCATCATCATGTCCAGAATGAGCCTGACAGGAGAGCTCTGGGTGTGCATCCATCCAGAAATGGATCAGCCCTGGGTGGTACCAACTGCTGGGCTTGGGCAGTGGGACAGTCAATGCACCAAGCATCCTAAAGCCATTGGTGCAGAGCTGCATGGGAAAACATAAAACATGAGGTGGTGGAGAAAGTATAGCATCGCAGAGAAGGTGGCAGAGCACCATGGGGCTGGGCAGGGAGCAGGGTGAGGCCATCATGCTGCTGCCTGCTTGGGATGTGGCACCTCCCAGCTCCCTGAGCCTGTCCCTTCCCTCAAACAACAGCAACCTTGCACATGGCTGCTGCTGCTTCTCCTGGCTCTGTGGGAAGAGATGTCATGATGCAGATCTCTCTGGTTGTGCAGCTGTCACTGCATGCTGCAGGGTCTGCCCACACCATTTGAGATCCCACCACTGTTCCCTCTGTCCTGCCCAAGGACTTGCTGACCACAGGGGTGAAGTTCTCCGCTGAGATGTGTGGCCATGGTTGGTCATCCTGTGTGCTGCTTGCCTTGCACCTTTATCTTTCCTCTCCTCTCTCATCCCCATCAGCACAAAGCAATCTGAGCCCAGAGCCACATAGCCAACAAACAACAAATTTCAGCAGCAGCAGTCTGTCCCACCGTGTGTGGGACCTGGAGGGGCTCTTGAAGTCGATGCTTCAAATCTGTGCCTTCCCAAGCTGCTGTAGGACCAGGAGTGAAACCCGAATTGCCTCAGGTCTTTCCAAAAGCAGCCCTGTCTGTTGGGATGGGGCCATTGTGTCAAGTCTGCATGGTTTGTGAGTGATATCCACAATGATTTTATTTGAGTTTTTCCCGTTCAAACCACTGTGTGCTTCAGGCATGGTTTGGGCTGTGCCGCCACCTGAGGTGCAGCTCTGCTAAGCATCATGCACTGCATTGTATAGGCTGTGAGTTGATTTTTTGCCCACTGATAACCATGAGCTGCCCAAGCTCTCTGGAGTGCTCTCCCAGCCCATCCTTGAGCTGAAATAAGCTGGCACATTACTGTGGTTGCCCAAATCCAACCATTAGACAGATCCCAGGGACATAGCTTTCCGGACCCAGCATCCCCTTGGTGGGATGTGTGATGCTGGAGAGGCCACAGGGGTTCACAGCAAATGAAGACAGAGCTGGAGTGTCTCCTGTGTCAGGCTCCATCTGCACACACAGAAATCCCATGTGGATTGCTGTCCTACTGCATCCACCTTGTTCAGGGCTGTGATGCAGTTCTCCATCACAGTGTGCTCCTTTCAGTGCTCAGATGGGCTATGCAGAGCTTTTATTTTCAAACACCCATCTATAAAACAGAGGCTGCTGAGGAGCACTGCAATAGACATCAAGTTTTGCTGGCATCTGGCTTCCCAAAAAGCAGAGTTTGGGTTTTGCAGTTTCCCACCTGTGGTTCTGCCTTTGGCATAGGGATGGGAGCATTCTCCAGGTAGCACGTGCCTCATCCTGGGCTCCCCTCCAGGCACAGAGGAAGCAAACATTGGTGCTGGGAATTGTTTTTTTCCCTATATTTTCACTGCCCCGTGCAGCTTTAAGGACAGTTTGATTTTTCTCTTCCAGTTCAGACCACTGCGTTAGATGGTTGGAAGCACTCACAGATTACGTTTGTGGTTCACTGGTGAGTCCAATCCTGCCACAGCTTGAATCCTGCCTAGATGCAATGGCAAGGAAAAATGTGGTACAGCTCATACCTGAGATGTGCATTTCTGAGCCCAAGGGGTAGCACAGGTCGGACCCTCTCCCCCCGATACTGGGGGAAGAATGGAGCATTTGCACCAGGACTGGGATGTGCATTCCCTGTGTGTCCCTGGCACTCGCAGGGTTAACCAAAGAGCTTAGATTTGGGGCTTTTCCTCTCTGTTGAGCATGAAAGTGGCTACGAAGAGATGCATGTTCCCATTGCCGCACTGCGAAGGAGACGCACAATAAACCTCTCTGTGCCACAGCCTCAGCCTCTCTCTGGGGGCTCTGGGGGCTCTGGGGGCATTCGGCTGCTGTGGGGGCCTGGGGAGAACCCATGATGGGATTGGGACACCCAGGGGCATCTATTTGCTCCTGGTGAGTTTGGGTAGCGCAGCCTGGACCAGGTGTGCGTCCCTCAAAAGCCACTATGGGGCCAAAAATCTTGCTGGAGTTTGGACAACAGCTCCTGATTTGTGGGGCAGCCTGCAAAGCCCCACTGTGAGCACTGGACCCTGATATCAGCCCTCAGCCCACACGAAGGATGCTGGAAGCAAGGAAAGCACCTCTCACATGTCAGCACTAAGGGCTGATTTTGACATTGCTCAAAAGCTACGGGCAGCGAGGCCAATCCCATTACCTGGGTGCAGGCACCCCTCGTAAAGTCACCGCCCCCATTCCAACCCATTTCAGCACAGCAGGACCTGATGAGATCGGAGCAAGCGATGCTCCCGCTGAGTTATTCATCAACTTGCTCTCACGTTGGCCAAAGCCCAAATACCTTGAAGCGGGGGAGCGGGGCTGTGGGGTTGGGGTCGAGCCCAGTGATGCCGCACAGGGGGCAGCCCTGACGCAAAGCCTGCGGGTGGTGGGGGCCAACAGCAGGGAAGGAATGGAGGGCTGAGTCACCCGAGTACGCAGGCAGGGAGTGAGCAGAGCAGGGGATGGCTCAGCCCTCGACGGCAGCCGGACGGAGCTTTGGCTGCTGTGCCCCACTTTGGTGTGCAGAGCTGAGCGGTTCGTGCCTGGCATTGGTGCTCAAGGCCAGGGCCTGCAGTGCGGTGCTGCCCTGTACGCTATGGGCAGGATGGCAGTGGGGATGCAAGAGAAATATCCACTAGAGGGGACTGTGTGATCGTGTGTGGGAGCGTGCGGCTGCCAGCCCAGCCTCAGAGCGAGATCTTGTTCCTTTGCACAGCACCCTGCTCGTCTCATTCCTGCATCCCAGCCCTGTACACCACCCTCGCATCCTATCCCCACATCCCATCCCTATATCCAAAACCACTGCCCCTCAGTGAAATGGAGGAGAGAATCAGAGGGCAAATTCATGAAAAACTCGTGGATCTGAAGAACTAGGGGGTCTTTAGGGTTCACATGGAAAGTGTTGCTGGAAAATATGTGGGCTGTGGGCCCCTGGCAGCACAGAGCATCCCTCATCATCCTCTTCTTCCTGCTCCATGTCTCTGGCTTGGCTCTGCCCTGCTTCCCCCTGGCCCCCTGGTTCTCCCCATGATCCCAATGTGGGATTTTTCATCCCAAATCCCACAAACATCCCTTAATTCACTTCTCCCCCCCATTCATCTCAAAGTAAAGCCCCTTTTGGGGGACAGGCCGGTGGGTGGTGAGGGTGTGGGACACCAGAGAGTGTTCTGATGGTTTCCTCTCACCCCTCAGCACCAGGACACATGTTCCCTCCTGCTAGGATTAATGCTTTTTGCTCCTGTTTGTACACAAGGCCTTGAGTAACGCAGTCCCCGGAGGTGCAAGGCTCCCCTTGCCCTGGCAGTGCGTGGAGGCTGGGAGCTCTCAGCGATGGCTGCAGCGCTTCCTGCGTCCTTCGGGGCTCCGTGCACGTTAACCCTGTCCTCCTGGCAAAGGCCCCACGAAATGTTTGTGTGTGCCTGTGCTGACAAACACTCTGAAGGAACACGTTGTGTAGGGCCTCCACCCCTCCCCAGGGCTGGAGCTCACGGCTGTTTCCTCAGCACGAGGCCGCCATGCTGCCAACCCATAACCTGCCGCAGCATCCATAAGTGGGTCTTCTCCGGGGCTTGGGGTCCTAGAGCAGGAGCATGGCCATGGGAATGGTTTGGCCCCATTCAGCTCCATAAGTCCCCAACACAGGAAAACGATGGGGAAATGGATGTGTTTCTATCTGGCACATGCGTGAGTACCAACCAGGATGGAGCTGGCAAACTGCACGCGTGTGATGCTGCAGAGTAAAACACAGAAAACACGCGGCTGCCAGGGCAGCAGCAGGACCTGCTCCCATGGTGGTGGCTGCTGGTGTGTGCAGGACAGTCTGGTCCATTCCCTCCATCCCTCCCCACAGCATCCCAGTTTGGTGGGACAATGCTGGGGACCACCTGAGTGTCACCGCTGTCACAGGGTGCTGGGCTGCAGCCCTGCTCATCCGCCCTGTGTTCCTGGTGGTGCAGAGGGCTTCAGAAGCACACAAGTATTTAGGTTTGTCTGTTCACAAGGAGCCATGAGTGCTTTCGCATCTCTCCCCCCATCCTCACAGCCCCCACCATGACCCAGCCCCACCCAGCCCAGCTGCTTTCTGTATCCACCCACCACATCCAACCTGTGTTGGCACAGCACCCGTGTTGCACATGCAGCATTGTTTCCCCAAAACCCAGGAGAGCAGCAGCAGCCCCACGCAGCCTGCACAGCCATCAGAGCAAACCAGCTCCATCCTGCCCAGTACCGGCTGCTTCCTTACCAGCTAGCTAATTCTTGCTTCTTCTTCTACCCAAGCATTGGCAGGAGGGAGGGGAGAACAAAACAGCCCTCGGGGGGAAGTTACCTTATTAATTAACGAGGCTGAGAGCTTTGCAGAGATTGTGCAGAAGAAGAGAAAAAAAAAAAAAATTCAGGAAAACTGGGCAAAACCGGAAAGGCTTGAGTTCAATTGTCAGCCCAATTAACCTAGATCCATGCCCTCCCTCTGGATGAATAGCTCATTATTATGTAATTGCTTAGGCCCGGCTCTTGGTGGAGAGAAATTAAAGTCAGACACTTAAGGAGGCAACCCGGTGTGGAGACAGGACGCAGGAAGGCACTAAAGCAAAGGGAAAGAAAGCGAAAGCACAGCGAGCTGCTGCTGCAGGGAGAGCTTGAAGGGCCATGGTGAAGCCTGCACTGTTTGCACCATTCAGGGCACCAGATTTTGTGCTGGAATGGGGATAACTTGGAAAGGCACTGCTGGTGCTGCTGTTCCATGTGCCACCCTTTGGAGCATGACTCTCCTGTGCAGGAGTTCTGAAACAGGCTCCAGATATTCTTGCAAGTGCCCCAGCATTAAATTAAAGAGGAGTTAGGTTAAATTAAAATGGCCACTTCTCTTCCTAGTGGATAAAATGGGAACCATACACCGAACTGTGTACCAGCACAAATTAATGTTTGTGAAGCTCTGGAAAAGTGCTCAGTGCTATCAGCAGTATTATTACTATTTGTTCCTGTGGCAGCGCTTTCTCTTCCTTGTCCCAGAGGGGTTTTCCCCTATCCTGTTCAGATGTATCAGTGCTGGGAAAGAAGAATCAGTGCCTGTGTGTTGAAGCTGGGCTGTTGGTGCTGGTGGGAGGGTGGAGTTGCTGGGGAGCAGGCTGCTCCGTGCAGAGGTGGGGGGCATTGCAATGCCCAGCTATGAATGTGCTGGTGGATCCCTCTGCTCAATTAACCCAACAAGGCAGCACTGTTACCAACATCCCTGCTGCTCTTTGATACCACATGGGCTTCCAGTGCCAGCTCGAGGCTCAAGGAGCCACCAGAGAGAAAACCAGGCGCCCAAGTGGGTGATGAGCTGGGGCTGAATGTGCAGGAAAGCAGCACCTGCACTGTGCTACTGCAGGGTGCTGAGGGCACCCTCTGCATAGTCACCCACAAAGCAGCAAAACAGCGGGGCTGATGACCCCTGCTGAGCTCCAGACTGGAGGTTTTGCCTTGTATCCTCCATTTTCCATCTCTATAGCAAATGCACAGCACTGGGAAGGCATCAGTGGCACACAAGTAGCCCTGACCCTTGTGCACCACAAGCCAGGGCTCATTGGTTTTGCTGAGGTTGTTTGGGCCAAACAAAAAGTAGCAAAAAAAACAAACCCCAAAACCCTGCAAGTGTGCAACGAACAATTTGTGTGTGGTTCAAATGATCTGTGACTGTTGACCCAAGATTAAATCTAGTGTGTAACTGGTGGTTATATACAGAGTCACATGCATGGGCAATGGAACCCTGTGTTCTCCAAACACGCTGCACCCCGTGGCTGCCGACTGCTGGCCGCTCACGTTTCCTCTCCCAGGCACCCTGTGGGCTTTGCATCATCCTTTTTAATTCCATCCTTACAAAGCATTTTTTGTCCGACCGGTATCTCGAGCTGGGAACAAAACAAAGCAAGCGGTGCCGTAAGCAGGCAGCCCAGGGCAGGCTGATTTCCCATGAAGTTTCGCCTTGGCGCTGAGCTCTGATATCTTGGAGCAGGGCTGGGCTCACACCACAGCGTTTTGCTCAGCAGGAAAATTTCCTCTCTATCAGCAGTTCTGGAGTGCATAGAAATAGCCTTTTGACTTCTGCCTTTGGGTGTAATTGGGGTAAAAATGAGCACTGGGCTCAGAGAATATTATCCAAGGGTGATGGGCAGGCTGATGGGCTCACCCAACCCCCATATGTGCTGCAAGGCTTGGTGCACCTTCCCCACATTTGGGGCAGAAGGAGATGGGGGTTCCACCACCCAGCTCTGGGGACAGGCAGGGATAATTCACAGCAGAACCATTGTTGTCCTCCTGCAGTAACTCTCTGGATGGTGAAATCCTATTAAGAAGAGCGTGACCTTGGTGCAGGCTGCTCATGTGTCCCACCACAGAGGTTTCATCACCAAAGACTCATTGTGCTGGGGGCCAGCCCTGTCCCAGGCTGTCCCACAGGGATGCTGGTGATGCTGGAGGCAGGTTTGGGAGGTGACAGCCCCATCCTGGATGTCTGCTCCCCCGCAGAGCTCTTACAGGGTGACCCCACATGCCCCCTTCTGCCACGGGAGCTCCTAGCTCCTTGCTGGTTGGAACTGGTGCTGAGCTTTCACTTGTTTTGCCAAGGTGGTTCTGCATCACTTTGCAGTGAGAATACAGAAACGGCTGGAGGGGGAAATCCACAATGTGGTAAACAGAGCCAAGTAAGGCAGACCTCTCACCCAGGAGGACAGGGAGGAGGAGCAGCCCGGGGGCTCCAGGGCTGGATTTCAACACCCTGCTGAAGACATGGCACAGCTCTTC